AGTTACGTAGGGGTTCCTAAAAGAATGAAAAAACAGAAGAAGAAATATACGTGATTGCATATGTTTTTTCTTTCGATTATGGTGTTTTGTTTGTTAAAAATACATGCTTTAAGAAAAGTCTTCATGTCACTATGCAAGTACAAATTCGATGTAGCCACGAAGACGATAACTCCAACGGATATATATGGATCCGACGGAAGTGAAACATTATGATGTTGCTCTGAATTTTGAGCATGGACCAATTGATGAGTTCGTTCAGTTCACATGGCGACATGAGACGATAGTGATATACAACTACTAGAATATCTTCCAACGAATCGATGACCTTATGGCGAGGTAAAAACACCATTGATGACCCTACAATAGGTATGAAGACTTATGAGTTTGCGGGAGGGTGTTAAGAGATCTTGGGGATTATACGAGATCGCCTTGAATATATTTTCTTAATGTTATTAGAAAAGTTAATATTTGTGTATAAGATATATTTCTTATTTCGTATATGTATAGAACTTGTTAGACAAGTTATAGGTTTGATTGGCAAGTGATGTAGGGGGTGAGGCGAGGACTTTAAAAACTGTAACTTTGTTTTAAATTTTTTAAAGTCTAAATTTTTCCAATCTCACTTTGACTTTCCTAAAATCATTCACAGTTCATAAAATTTCTCAAAGCCAAATTTTTTTTTTTTCTTCTAAGTTAATGAGTTTTTCTAAAAGCCAACAATTCATGACTTTTTTTTAAAAGTCACAGTCATAAATAAAAACAAAAAGTCACAGCAAAAAAATTAACAGTTTTTTTTATAGTAACAGCCTCAAATAAAAGTTCAAACCAATCATCATCCTCGTAGTGTCTTTCTACAGCCATAAATTTGTTTACAGCACTAGATCCTTTCCAATCATATACTTTACAAAGCGAAAAACCGTTTTTTTAAGTCTACAGCCATTTTTTGTTTTTTTTGCTGTACAAAGCAAAAAACCTACAGCCCTAATATTTTGGCTTTGGAATTTCGTAAAGCAAATTACTAACATTTCTTTTCCTCTCGTTCATGACTTTCCTTTTTTTCTTCTTTTAGGCATATTTCATAGAAAACAGTCCGAAATACGGCCAAACAAATTCAAGTTTCCGTAAAAAACTTTTGCCTTACAAATACAAGAAACAGTCTGAACTAGAACCAAGTTTTGATATTCTTAAGATTTAATTCCTTGGATACAAAAATTATTTCATTTTAAAATAATTTTCATGTCTGTAAATCTGAACTTGCAATCTATATCCGGCTTAATTACATCATGTGTATACGATACGCTACTAAAGTTAAAGATGAGTTGCTAAAATTAAATTTGATTCATGTATAAATAATTTGGGACCTGTTTTTGTTCGTTCTCTGAGATCCAGAGAATGCTAAACCAACACTACATTTCAATCATATATGGAAAGAAGTAAAGTCTGAACCTTTTAGAAATATCCATTTTAGTACACACACTTAATTGTTTCAAATCCAAATGCATTTTCATCAAAGGATAATTTAAGCGAATTTATCTGCAATTTCCAAGAGATGGTTACTTAGTAGTTGAGGCCTGCTGAACATTGGCATATGATCAGTCTCTTCCATCTCTATCACTAAATTTGCTGGATAGTTATCGACCATCCGTTGTTGATGTTCTTCTGGAATTGTTTTGTCTTCTTTACACACAATGTAAGCTCGACGAACAGATCCATACCCTTCCTCCGAAAAGTTATTCCTCTTCGATAAGTCGTTCACAAACAATGATCCGGGTCTCTTTAGCCGCAATCCAAGCTCAATATCCTAAATCAAGATTACTACACAACATCAAAATTACCATATAAATATTATCAACTTATCATGATGATAATAAATTAAAGTACCTCGATAGGAGAAAGCTGGTAGAGACTGTGCTTCAAGAACTCAGTGCCGAAAGACATAGCCACACCCGAATTATCTGAGCCGTACGGTTCAAACTTTGAGTCCAACCATGTGTCTTGTGGCATGTCGCGTACATGCTTTTACATGATCAAAGAGTAAAAATTTGAATTTATCTTTCGAGTTAAATACAATTATTTAAATTCTACAAGAAAAAAACAAAAATCGAATCTTTTAGAAGGATATGGTGGTAAAATTCTAGCCACCATAACAGTGGCACTATTTGGACTTACAGTACTTCTATGGTTATAGCATATACACCACAAATGATAAAGGCTAAAAAAATAGAAATCTACATAATTAAGCTCAAGATATTTATGACTTATGAGCCATCTTTGAGTGATTGGTTACGACTAGATGAAACAAATAGATTTTTGGATTGTATTCCGTAAAAAAGAAAAATTACAATTTTTTCACATTAAATAATTGTTTTAAAATAAAGGTAAATCTAGTAAATCACGTCATAGTTTTTTTTTTTTTACTTAAGTGATATATTTATCGTACATGTTATTGAAAAATAGCATATATTTTACAGGTTTTTAATAGAAAATAAAATTTTTATTTTAAATACTGACATGCTAATTATATGATATCAATTTCTTATTCACATGTATGATAAAATATTGACGCCTATCCTAGATTATATTATCTCAGCAAAGAAATCCTAAACACAAATTGAAGTAATTAACTGGAAAGACTTGTCGAGGAAACTTTTCATAAGTACCACG